CGTAAGTTTGAAAGTTTCGTTGAAAACCCTTGAACTGTTCTGGATGGAGCTGTGGCTGCCCTACTATCTTCTCATGCAAAAGAGAGTAAAAAATATACTTTTAAAAAATAATGCAGAGATTAAATTTTAAAGCAAATATTGTTTGGGTGCTTTTCCCCCCATTTGTGCATCACTGATCCAGATCAAAAGTATATCTCAATCTTGTTTAAAATACTGTTCTGTCATAAAATTTAGATACAGTTACTCAAAATAAGTGGGCAAAAATACCAAAATATGACAGAAGAAAGTTCTACATCTATGGAATGTTTTATTTAACCTGATTTTTTTCCCAGTTTTTCATCTCACTGAGGCCCTCCCCTTCCCCCCTTCCCTTCCTCTCCCCCCGAAGATTTATCTTTTGCTCCTGACAAAACCATTATACCATGATCTCACATCGTGTTAAGGCCAGGTCTGCACTGTTATAGATACTGTTGTATTCCATCATGCCTGGCATAACTTTGTCTCAGGTGAGGCATGAGTACCCCCGCTTTTATACCTCTCAAGTTGCAAACCATTTGCACAAGTGTTTACACTGGCTTTGTGCTTGCTGTGGGAAATCTAACCCAGCAGAAAGGTACCGCGGCGTGGACATGAGCAGCCTGATTGGGTGTGAAGTCTGCCAAAACACCACCCAGAAAAACGCATCTGTCTCTCTTGCTGCTGCTTCTCATTAGCCCTTACTGGAGAGAAGGAGGCAGGAAGAGAGCAGGGTGCACAAGGCAGATGTGCAATACAGAGCTTTACCTTGCAAAATCACTCCTGGCTTCAGCAATGCCTGTCCCACCTGCAGAGCTGCTGGACTGGATGCCTGTTGGTCCAGGACAGCTCTTGAACCCTTGGATGCTCTACAGTATCTCCACTGGGCAGGAGATATCAGTGATGCAGCTGCCTCGAGGCAGGGCAGACTCATACTCCTCGTGGCCATTCCCTGAGGCAGGCTGGCTGGAGTCCACTTCTCCTCTCCATCATCCCCAGACAGGCTGGTCCCTACTTCTGCACAGCCATTTCCACACTAACCTCTTTAGCAACTGCTTCCAGCCACTTCTGCTTCCTTTTCCAGATGCCAGGCTGCAGGAAGGGAAAAGAGGCTTAAGCACCAGTGATGATGAGGAGGAGCAGGTCAGAGGAACTGAACAGTTCTTCACAGTCCGACAGGGAAGGATTACAGGAAGGGTATTGTGAAAGGCTCGATGAAGGACTTGCTGCTTCCAGTTGAGGTGGAAAAAGGTTTGTACTTCAGGCATGGTGGATGTGCAAGGTGACCTTTAAGAAGTCTGGGCTGAACTTGCGACACAGCTGCCAAGGTAGCGTCCCATGTATGCTCACCATTCACTGTGAAAAGGAAAGTAGCCATTAAATACATCTGGAAACCAGCTACCCTTAGGGGTCCCCCCAGCTGTCTATGGCCACTCGGCCCAGTGTCAGGCAATCCATAGCTGGAGATGCTGTAGATTGGTGGATATTCTGTCCACAGTGGATACCCTGCTTGAGTTGAAACCTCCCGAGTATTCAGCAATTAATCCATAGGGGTAAACTTGGAGAAGAGAAGCTCTGCCCCTCCAGCTGGTCTCAGGCAGCATATTCCCTCTCCTGTCTCCGTACTGCGCTGCCCTGGCTATAGAGCGATACATATGGATCCTGACAGTGCCTTCATATGGTTCAGGTGCCCCTGCACAGCTGAATAAGGTTGCACAGTGTGTATTTGCCTGGCTGAAATCTGGACACTGATCATCAGCTATGGCTTGCACAGCACGTGCTGCGTCCTTTCCTGTGCCCTTGCCTCCCTCCTCAGGAGATGAGATGATGTACTAACGCAGAAAGGCAAATTTGCTGTGTCTATCTTGAACAACAGAAGCAGAATAAATGTGCAATTCAGTCAGATGAAGTTTCCCCCCCCTCCATGACTTGGGCTCCCCAAAGGACTTGGTCAGACCAAGGATGTCACATCCAGGGCAGGCCTCGGAGCAGAGGACAGAGGGAGGAAAGTGGTTGCTCAGTTGATTCTTTGTCTTTCACTCTTTTGTGCATGCTTTTCTGGAAACCACAGGAAATTAGCCAGCATTAGCAAAGGAAGGAAATTACAGGGGAAGGTAGGAGTAGCTGTCTTTCTCAGCAAATTCACTTTTGGTGTTCCCTAGCGTTTATGGAATACCTATATCTAAGTGCTTTCTTCTAAGCTATTGGAGCCATTCACACTTTATTTGATTGAAACGGAAGGACAGCAACCCCTGAAACAATAGGGGGCTTTATTCATTGTAGAATTACAGTTTTTGCATCTTTTAATTCCTTAATATGTAAATAATACTCGTTCAAAATTATACAATCAAAAATAAGTTATCCAAGCTTGCAAATGATAGTTTAGGTGAACTGAGCAGGGGACGGATCAGAATTCAACAGTTTGCCTTTTTAATCCCATATCCAAACTAAGAGATCATGGAATAAGTGTGCAATATATGCAGACTGCTCTACTCAGAAAGATCTTAAAATGTTTGAAATAAGGTTGTCACAGGCAGTCTTGCCTGAAGCTTTCTCCTGATAACTACAGAAGGAAACAGCATTGTGTCTCTAGTCTCCCAAACAGACTGGGAATCCGCTCAAAACATACTCTCCACACCCGGGCTGTTGTTGCTCTTACTAAAAATCAACGGGAGCTGATAGAGAACTAAACAGAGAAAGGTCCGTGCATTAACACTTCCCTTGCCTCTGATTACTACGAGAAGAATGAATTTTACCTGAATGTGTTGCAGTACAGCATCGTACTTGGTCTTAGTCTTTTCACTAAGTACATGTGTGAGACAAAAATCAAGTTGCGGACGGTCTAATAAATAATAGTAAAAAAACTTTCCAATACTTTTGAATGCATTCATAAGAGATATATTGGTCAGAAGCAATAATAAAAGTATTTTGCTATTCCCTTTCTAGGAAAACATATAATTCTTAAGGGAAATGGTGGCTAATTATGAGATGGCAGTGCCTCCACCCTCCTGAAAATACAAGATTTATTTCCCAGGCATACTAAGTTTGCATCTGCCACCTCACACAGATTGCTTAAAAGAAAAAAAGGAAAAAAAA